ACCCAATCTATTTTCATAAACCATTGTTCCATAGCTTGATGACCCTGACTCCAGTTAGTATCATTCAAAATGGTGGACAAGCATCTTTCGTCCTCGGTAAACATGACGAGCTATTGGAAATTATCTGTCATCCATCTGTGGAACAATGATAAACTAGTAGATGTACGTTACCACTGTTTATCAAATTATAACTAAAACAGTTTAATTGTGACATTCGTGAGCTTATGTTGATTGGATGATTGCTTCATCTATGATATAATATGATATGATTCTTTATTTCCTCCAATTTGGAGAGCCAACGTGTAAAAACGTCTAATTGACTTTATTAGAGAGGCTGTTTAGTTACACGTTTAATGGAAATCTTGCACGACGCACATGTAGAATTATTGCTCTCTTAGGATTCCTTCTCTCCGACTGAGTAAAAAGGTAAACAAAAGTGATAAGATTAAGGGCCCAAAAAGATAAATTGATAGGGGTACAGTTATCCCAGATATCCCGGGCCCTCGGGAAATATCATATTGTCTCTCGGAATAAAACCAATATTGAATCCCTCTCAGTAAATAACCTATGTATAATAGCATTGTATAACTGCAATATCATTAAACCAACACTAGCAACTCCTGGATAGCGTAAACTCCTGAGCAGCGTATACAACTCTTCAACTTGATATATATATGACATCATACTTTGGGTGGGATAACAAAGGATATACAATATACAATTGTAGACCTCTCTTGAGGTCAAGTGGCAAAATTGTAAACCGATACTGTAATCCTTGAAAGTTCTGAAGTCGAGGTCAACAGTTTTACTGTTGAGGTATACACTTTGGCCAGTTGACCGAATAGAGAGGTTAACAATTGTTTGTTAGTCCGAAGAATATAATAATTTGAAGGATATAATATACAACTGTAGATCTCTCTTAAGGTCAACTGGCAAAATTGTATACCGATACTGTAAACCTTGAAAGTACTGTTGATCAAGACCAGAGGTTGAAGACACTTTTGCCAGTTGACCGAAAAGAGAGGTTTACAATTGTTCTGTTAGTCCAAATAATATAATAATTGGACGAATATACGAGTATAATCGGAATATCACGTGAACATATTTGATAAGTAAAGGTATCATATTTTAGCAAAAAATCCCCAAACCGTCGAGTACTTGTAATTTTTTAAACAACTTGTTTTTTTCAAAATTAAAACAATTTCAACATTAAAAAACAATATTTCAAAAATAGCGGTCAACAGTACCTAGTAGTGGTCAACAGTTTACAATTGTTGACCTCCCCAGAGGTCAACCGGCAAAATTTTATACCGAGACTGTAAACCGAAAAACTACTGTTGACAGAGACCGAAGTTTACAGTCGAGGTATATGATTTTGACGGTTGATCTAATGGAGGTCTACAATTGTTTTGTTAGTCCGAGTAAACTAATAATACACATATAGACGACAATCATCAATAGGCATGGCTTCATTTCACAACCTTTTCTCCGAACCACGTTAGCAATATTTTTTAGAAAATCTGGAGACAGTGTTAGTAGCTTAACTCTGTATTTGGCACATCACGGCGTACTCGTTAGTGAATTAATGTTAATTTTAAGTTTCTATTTGTATTTTTACTATACTTGTCGCCTAGTAAAGTCATTTTCATCAACGTTTACAAAATGTCCGTCTTCCATGTTTTTTGTGACGTCATGAAACTTTTTTTCAGAAGTAGCGGTCAACAGCACCTAGAAACGGTCAACAGTACATAATTTTGACCGCTAATCAACCAATCAGAATTGAGTATTTCAATTGAGGTACTAACAACACAAAATGAATCTGATGTCTTTCCAAAATTATATTAGTTATTTGTAAACAATTTCCATAGGTAAATCAAGGGCATTTAATTTAGAAAATGTATAATCTTTATTTTTCAGATACAATATCAATGAGATTGCCTCCGGGTATTCAGTACTTTATTAGACTCCAGATTGAAAATCTGGAGTCTATTGCTTTTGCCTGTATTCTTATTATTCTTATTAGAATGCCGTGTTTCGAAGAAACGGCATTCTATAGTTTTCGCCTTTTTCTTATTATTCCACGCAAGATTTCTCCGCACACACCGACATGTCAGCTAATTAGCATATACCATCAACCTTGACATGTTCCTGGGCTACAGGGAAATGCCTTCATTTTTTTAATTAGCCCCTCCCTAATTAGCCAAGGTCAAATCGCATTTTTGCACGTACAAGGAGTAACCATTTTTATTTTTTACCCAAAATTTGCATATGCCATCCCTCACAATTGCCATTTCACATATATTCCGGGTTTTAAAATTGGGTGCCCCAAATTTGAAAAATGGGGCACCCCAGTGGGGCAAAATTTGAAAACTGTGTATCCGATCCCAATTCTGAGCAGATATAAAGAATAGAAGCCCCTGATTCCAAATATGCTTTCGGATTTGGAATCCGACCTCTGAGTGACCTTGAAAAGGTCAACAAGTTCAAAAATCAAAATCGCTCAAATTGATTCCAAATTGGTACCATTGTATTACACTGTACTCGGATAGAGTAAATTAGGTCACCATTTTGACCTTGACCTTTGACATTGACCTTCAAATGACCTCAAAGTTGAAAACTAGGATTTTCATTCCAATTCTTTGCAAGTATGAAGTATGGATGTCCCTGATTCTAAATATGCTTGTGGTTTTGGAATTTGACCTCCGGGTGACCTTGAAAAGGTCAAAAAGGTTAAATTGCTAAAATTGCTCAAATTGATTCGAAATTGGTACCATTGTATTACACTGTACTAAACTAGAGTAAATTAGGTCAACATTTTGACCTTGACCTTTGACCTTCACCGTAAAATGACGTAAAACTTATTTCTTGTTTTACCTGTTCAAGGAGCCACTGTAGTTATTTTTTGCATGCCTTACTCTTCCCATTTAACATATCTCTAGGGTTTATAATTTGGGTGATTTTCATTCCTATTCTTTGCAAGTATGAAGTATGGATGTCCCTGATTCTAAATATGCTTTCGGTTTTGGAATTCGACCTCTGCGTGACCTTGAAAAAGGTCAATTGTGCACCGAATTTGCTGCTGCGGCGAGGAACAGCATTCTACGAAATCGCCCCGTGGCGATTTTAAATGTCTAGTTATTCTTATTAGCACGTTTTCTCAGTAACTAGAAGACTTAGAGTAAATCTAATTACATGGTCAGTTAGGCTATGTGACCTAGTTTCTGGGAAATTAGGTCAAATTTTTATCTAGGTCGAAGGTCAAAATCTAGGTCAAATCTACAAATTGTCAATTATCTGCGTTATAGTTAATTATTTTTTCTCAATTTTTTTTCATTGTGTAGCTAAGAAGGAGCGCTTTTAAGTGAACTAATTTTTTTTATTGTAACTTTTAAGAATTTTGAGAAATTTGACTTTAAAAAAAAGTTGAATTTTTTAAATGTTCCAAATCCATTAGAATTGGTATTAATTTAATAGGCAATTGTCTTAAAATTCTGAATCTGAAAACGAAATTGTGATCCGACTCCAGGTTCAGGAGTTAAGACATTTTGAAATAATGATTTGATGATATCCCCATGTCATGTCAATCGGACCGATGTTTTTTTATTTCTCATTAATATCAAAGTTCAAATTAAGGTTTTAATAGAAAATTTTCTCAGGATTCCGAATCTGAAAACAAAATTGAGATTCGACTTCCGGTTTACAAGTTATGGGCTTTTGAAATCTCAAAAAAATCCCACCGCTGCCACCAAATTGTAACAATCTCAACCCTTTCATTAATATCAGATCTCAAAATGGTTTTGAGATAAACAATCTAAATCTGGAGTCTTGAATTGAACTTGTTCAATTTCTCCAATCTAGTTATTGTCACGTTTTCTCAGCAACTAGAAGAACTTACTCAAATCTACTTAAAGGGTCAGTAAGGAGATGAGACCTAGTTTCTGGGAAATTAGGTCAAATTTTTATCTAGGTCAAAGGTCAAAATCTAGGTCAAATTCATAGTTTTCCTTATTTTTACGATTCTGACACTACACCTTAATAATTTGCTTTAAAATTTTGTATACAGATAGCAAAGAGTGTGCTAATAGTGTTAGCCTTTTGCCGTCAGAAAGTATTTTGACCCACTTTTGAGATATGGTGTCCGAAAAGTAGGTCAAAATAAAAAGTTCTCCAAATTTAACATATAAGCTATGAATTAAGGGTAGAATTTTCCCAGGAATCCGAATCTGCAAACCAAATTTCAATCCGAATACGGTTCGGAAGTTATGGCGTTTTGAAAGCTCAAAAATCGCTAAATTTGGTGCCTATGTTAAGTCAATGGGAAAAAAGACTTTTTCGAAGTGTAAAATACCAGATATAGACTGAGTACAGCTCAACATAATGAATGCTTATAAAAGAAGGGGACCTCAAAAGCTACAGAGCTTCAAAATTTGGACACCAAAATGCCTAGGTAAAAATCTAGGTCAAATTCATAGTTTTTCCTTATTTTTACGATTCTGACACTACACTTTAATAATTTACTTCAAAATTTTGTATACAGGTAGCAAAGAGTGTGCTAATAGTGTTAGCCTTTTGCCGTCAGAAAGTATTTTGACCCACTTTTGAGATATGGTGTCCGAAAAGTAGGTCAAAAAAAAAAAAATTCAAATTTAACATATGAGTTATGAATTAAGGGTAGAATTTTCTCAGGAATCTGAATCTAAAATCGAAATTGAAATCCGGTTCGGAAGTTATGGCGTTTTGAAAGCTCAAAAATCGCTAAATTTGGTGCCTATGTTAAGTCAATGGGAAAAAAGACTTTTTCGAAGTGTAAAATACCAGATATAGACTGAGTACAGCTCAACATAATGAATGCTTATAAAAGAAGGGGACCTCAAAAGCTACAGAGCTTCAAAATTTGGACACCAAAATGCCTAGGTAAAAATCTAGGTCAAATTTATAGTTTTTCTTTATTTTTGCGATTCTGACATTACACTTTAAAGATTTGCTTCAAAATTTTGTATACAGGTAGCAAAGAGTGTGCTAATAGTGTTAGCCTTTTGCCGTCAGAAAGTATTTTGGCCCACTTCTGAGATATGGTGTCCGAAAAGTAGGTCAAAATAAAAAAAAATTCAAATTTAACATATGAGTTATGAATTAAGGGTAGAATTTTCTCAGGAATCTGAATCTAAAATCGAAATTGAAATTCGAATTTCAGTTAAGATTCTATGCCAGTATCCAGAATGCAGATCGATGAAATATACTTTCAAAAATTCCTTCATAACTACCCAGCTATCTACTTAGCTACTTACTCAGCTACCTATTTAGCTACTTACTCAGCTTTCTACACAGCTTCTTACTGGGCTACTTACTCAGCTATCTAGGTCAAATCAAACAATCTGGAGTCTTAAATTGAACTTTGTTCAATTTACAAATCTAGTTTAGTTTGCCTTGTATATCCTTTTAATTTTGATATAGACAAAGAAACCAAACAAAATACGTTTCGTTCATGGACCACTGACTCACGCGTTTTATTCATGTCCCGACCTACACCTGTAAACAGAACATAAAACAGTTTCTCTTGTTGTTCAATGATACATTATATTGGCGTTTTTACATCAGCACATTGGTGTTGTTGCATCATCGATAAGAAACAGAGTGGTGTTGTTGCATCAATAGTGAGGAATTAAAACCACGAATTTATCGCTTCTTGATGATGCTACATGTATACCAATGACAGTTTTTTAAAATATAGATCATGCGCTAACTGCATCTGTATGATTATCGAGCAACTCGCCCTAGAAATGGGTGTAAATTGAGAAAACAAAACATCGTACGAAAATCTATCACCGGAAGTCTGGCCATCTTGATGCAACAACACAGTGTTGTTGCATCACGATACCCCCCAGTGACCATTGAATTTCGACGATTGGGATTTGCACCAATAGGATTCTTACCATTAAATTTGGACGATTGGAATTCCACCAATGGGATTCTTACCATTGAATTTGGACGATTGGGATTCGCACCAATAGGATTCTTACCATTGAATTTGGACGATTGGGATTTGCACCAATACGATTATTACCATTGAATTCGGGCAATTGGCATTCGGACCAATGGTGTGTCCTCCTTCAGTGTTCTGTATACCACCTTTACCTGCTTAATAAGGCATTGTATCTTCAAATAAAACCTTAGCCAAGTAGTTTAGAGTCCCTGGAACAATTTTGTAAAAAGCTTTCACTTGCAATTCATTGTGTCTCTAAATTATTGTGTTCTCGATTTAAGTCATAAATTTCGTCAAGGTAACGAAGGAAATTTGGGTGAACGTTAACATTCCCGGATGTTTAAATGTCTCAGGAACACATAGGTACTCGAATGATTTAATGGTGCAGAGGAATCGTAATTTTACTGAGTGGATTCATTAAACAATGAACATCATTACGAGCAGCCCCCTGCTAAGCGAGAAAGCTACACGTACATCTGTAGCTATGCGATTTATACGCTGTAAGGTTTCGTTCCAATTTTCTATTCAACTTAAACTGTATTGTCCATTTGAGACATGAAATTGATTACAACATGTTCTTTTAACATATTTTCATGAACAAAACTATGTAAAACATCCATGTCATTCCGGAACCGGTTTGAAATCCACTATTTGTCACCTTTTCCGTGGCATGACTGATCTTATGTTTTATAAACGACACATCATACGTGATATTGATGTCCTTAAGCTGTGCAATTCCAGCTTTTTCTTTCATGCGTTCAGAGTCTGATGCCATTTTCTTGTAAATTTGAGGCGATGTGTAGTTCTCGGGGAAAGATGTATTGAACGTGAATTCATCATAATCGCGATGTTGTAGGAATAAAATCAAACCAACTAGATCAAAAATTTGTTTGATATAAGTCTTGATGACATGAAATACATGCTCTTCCGGTTCAATGAAGAAATAGCAGTTGATTTGTACTGGAACAATGGTGCTAACCAATTTGCATTCATTCCCATCTCGTACATACGCTTTTGGGCAAGTTAAAGCCTTGCAAATATTGTCCGAGTTACATCCTACCTCAACATCCAATCCATTGATGCCATGACCAGCTTGAGACCTCAGTCTTATTCCATTCTCAGATGTCACATCCACCATTATTTTAAACGAAAACAAGGGTAAGTTTGGGCTCCTTAGATGACTCAATCGTACGGTACACGAAGGCAATGGACGTTCAGTTTCTGTACATATGAGGCAATACCAGTTATGATAGGCATGGTATTTTTGTTTGTATGTAGAATAAGGGTCTAAGTTAGAGTTCGCACACCGATAGGCCAACAAACGATCTGTTCCATCCGGACATGTATGGATAGTTGGTATGCATGGCCTCGGTTGTAGTTTATCATTTGAAGGAGCGATATACTCAACAGAACAAAAAGGGGAATTCATAACTCTCGTTAAGGTATTTGGTCCAGGGTTCTGAAAATCCGACTTATCCAATACGTTTCGATTACACCTGTATTTTGTCTGCCACAATACAGGAGACTTGACATTGTTACATCTTGCGCAAAATATGTTGCTATACTGTATACCTGGAACAAAATTTGAAGTAGGTGAGCTTTGGCCTACAATTTTCTCATAAACGTCCCTCCATCAGATACCACCAAAAGGGACTCAATTAATTTAGAAGCACTGTAAAAATGATTTCCAGGAGATATTAATTTGTTTAATGTTATTTTCAGATAAGCGTCAAAACCAATTTTGTAATAACTTCACGCATGTACAATCTATAAGAAAAGTTGATATATTCATATATAAATTACATGATTTAACTTAGTATTAAATAACGTCAATATACATAAACTACCTGTTTCGACGTCAGATGCTGGTAATAAACTGAGGAGGGTATTTCTGTTCCTACATTTTTCTTCTAAATCAGTCCCAAAATGCTCGCTTGCACACGTTTGGTCCATGTACAACATCTCTGTTTGGCTTATTTTGATACAACCATATTTAGATCTTTCCCCACTCGTCAATTCACCATATTTTGTGTTGTTGTAGTTGATGCTGCACTCGCTCTCAAAATCAGCACAACAGTCTTGGTAGTGGGCACATTTGTCGTCACATTGGCAGTAAAAATCACTGAGACTGCTCGTATTTTTCGGCACACCGCATCTGTCCTTACACGTGCGCATTTTCTGATCACATGTTTTTTTCTCCATTTCATTTTCAGTTTTGATACTGATATTCTGTTGTGGAGATGTATCTCTGTTTTCGCGTTCGTTTTCGCCTCCATTAAGTTTCCGTATGCCTTTAAAAGGACCAGTATAGTTCATTTCTCCGGTTTCGAATGTATGCCTTGCGAATATAACCAAAATGATGTAATAAATGTAACACTTCATTTTACGTGCCAAAGCTGAACTGAAAACACTATATGTTTCTTAGATCTCCACGTGTAATTTCTTCTCTTGGCGTTGTAATACAAGACTGGAAAAATAACGCTACGCGATTAAATAATATCATTTTTATAATTACTGCAAGCATCACTTATATCAATAATCACTTATCAGTAAAACATTATTCTTACGAAGGATATATTTATAATTATTACCTGCGTCACTAATTATACCATTTCTCAATTATATAATTCTTTGACTTCTATCCCTCCCTCTATAGGTAAACGATCGTATATAATTAATTACAATAAAGTGCTATGTTATTTATAATTATTACCTGCGTCTCTAATTATACCATTTCTCAATTATATAATTCTTTTACTTCTATCCCTTCCTCTATAGGTATAGGTTTTTCTTTTATTTATTTCCTCTCTCTCTATTTATCCATTGGCCACAGCTCGCTTCTATCTACCCTTTCACTGACAAGGTGTTTCGCAAAACCCAGTGAACGGTTTATTGGACAAGTCGCAACTTCAAAACACCCCTCCCGAATTACATTTCAATAACAGGCCTCGTATAATAAGGTTTAAGTCATCCCCTCACATTTTAGAGCCATTTAGTTAAACTTAGAAGCAAGATCTCAAATTTATTTCATATAAATCATAAAAAATATTGACAATAATTACCATTTCTATGTATTTCAAATGAGATTCTAAAGACTGAAAATGTAGAACATCATATAGTTATGAAATATTAAAATGGGCATTCATTCAAATAATCTGGATGTATATTAGATGAAACACTTAACTTCCCTACAACTGCCGAAAATCTAAGCGCAGCAGCAGGCCGAGCTTTGGGGGGCCTCATCACAAAATTTAGGAAACACAATGGACTTTTCTATACAGCATACACAAGACTTTATAACACATGTATACTCCCAATTTTGAATTATGGGTCCGGCGTTTGGGGAAACAAAACTTATCAATGTACTGACAATATCCAACACAGGGCAATGAGGGCATTTCTAGGTGTGCATAGATTTGCATCTATCCCAGCAATGTACGGTGATTTGACATGGATGACACCATTAGACACTAGAAAATTAGATATTATACGTCTTTGGAACAGAATAACATTCATGAATAATAATCGTATCACTAAAAGAGTGTTCATGGAAGATTATCAAAATGGGAAAGCAAGTTGGTGCAGCGACTTTAAAAAACTGTGCATTGATTTAAATTTTGAAGAGCACTACCGTGATCAAACATATATTGACTTACGTGTGGCACGAACCAGACTAATGAAGAAACAAAAATAAAAATGGCATCAGGAAATTCTTGAACAACGTAAATTACGTACATATGTTACTTTTAAAACAGACTTTAAACCAGATCAATTCATTTTATGTGACTTGCCAAGAGGCACTAGATCACTGATTTCACAATTTCGGCATGGAATTCTACCTTTGCATATTGAAACTGGCAGATTTGTAAATACCAATGTAAATGAGCGTTTTTGTAACATTTGTAAGTCGGGTGAAATCGAAGATGAAAAGCATTTTATTTTTGATTGTAGTGCATATAGGAAAAAAAGAAATGAGTTCTTTGAAAAATTGGAAATAGAGAGTCTGACTTTAAGTGACATTTTTAAAAGTAAAAGATACACTAAGATGTTTGGTCAGTATTTAATTGACATAATGCAGATCAGGAAAGACTTTATTTTTAAACAATAACTAGTTATTTTAAAATGTTCAAATGTGTCTCATAAGCCCAGATAGGGCTGGTTGTATGATATGATACAAGTGACACTTTAATAAAATAAATAAATAAATAATCTGTGCTGTTAAATATTCAGAGATGGTCACTTTACTTTCTTGTATGGCAAACTCAGATCGGCTATTTATATCTAAAAACTTACGTTGCAAAACATGTGAAATTAGGAAGACTTAGGAGCAAAACGGGACACGTTTCAGTGGTTCACAAAATGTCCCACAAAAATGAGTTCATACAAGCGTCTGGTATTTATTTTAAAAATATCTAGTACTCTTATCAAACCCAAGAGAGATGAAATCATATCGTTTGGCTTGACTGTAATCTTGTGGCAAAGAGGGTAGGGGTGGCAGGGTTAAGATAGGGGGGGGGGGGGTGGAACATTTATAAAGTTGCAGTTTTCCTTTTGCAATATCTTTTGCACCGTTTTAGCGTTGAAGAATTTTGAATAGGCTAGAAATATGACCTACAATGTATAATAAATATAATACAATATTTGCTTCATAATCAGGATCAGTTTACGATATTCTAGGTAATTTATATTTTCTTTCAATAATACGAAAACCTATCAATAACAAAGAGCATAAAAATTAGTCTAATAATCACAAAATATTTTCCTTTGAAATCATTTTAAATAAAACCATACCCTGTAATCTAGATAGCAGTTCCAAATTACCCTCTGGGGGCCACAAATGATTTTTCAGACTTTAATGCGGACCCAAGTGAAAAAATCCAATGGACGTTGCACATTAAATGCCGACCTTATACCGACCTAATGTAGTTGTCTAATACCGAACTAATACCGATGAAATCCTGCTAAAATTTATCATGCAAATGAGCTAATTTAGAAGTCCTGTCAGCCAATCAGCTTTAACCAAATACCGACCAAATACCGACCTAGTACCGATCTTATATAGCTCTAATAACGATGCACCGGTATAGGACTATGCTATTTAATATGGCTTTAGTGAAACTCCAATACCGATCAAGTACCGATCAAATACCGATGCATCGGTATTGGACAGGGATATTTAATACCGCTCTAGTACAGCTCCAATACTGATTAAATACAGATGAAATCCTGTGTCTTCCCATTTCGCCCCTTCCCACTTTTCTCCCTTCCCATTTCGCCCCTTTCCCGAATTGCCCCTTACCCATTTTGCCTCTCTTCCATTTCGCCCCTGTCCCATTCAACCCCCTTCCCATTTCGTGAGATATCACAGCCTCCTATCATTCCCCCTTCGCCCCTTCCCAATTGTCCTCTTTCCCATTTCGCCCCTCATTTATTCCCATTTCGCCCTTCCCATTTTGCCCCTGAATAATTGAATAATATTTGAACAAAACCTGTTATTGATCTAAAATGGGAATGGGCGAAATGGGAAGGGGCGACATGGGAAGGGGCGAAATGGGAAGGGGCGATAAGGGAAAGGGGCGATATGGGAAGGAGGCAACACGGGAAAGGGGTGAAATGGCAAAGGGGCAAAATGGGAAGGGGCGAGATGGGAAAAGGGCGAATTGGGAAAGGGGCAAAATGGGAATAAATGAGGGGCAAAATGGGAAGGGGCGAAGTGGGAAGGGACGAAGTGGGAATAAAACATGAAATCCTTCTAAAAATTATCATTTAATAATCAATATCATATTTAAATACCATTTTGGATAATTGGTCACCCTAAGAATGTTTAATATAGCAGCTAGTAACACAGATCTTATGACGATGCTTCTGTTTCAGCCTTTTGCCTTCTGATCAAAATTAATATAATGATATGATGTATGTCAACAGACATGCAGTAGCTCTAACTATAAGTACACCTAAAAGCTCCAAACGACTGTTTGTTATTTTGTGATGTAGTACTGAAGTGCTCAAGACCAAATCCGGTTCTGGCCTATTACATGTATTAATCAATTCACATGCAAAGTCCAAAGTTTTTTCAAAATTCTCTCGCAAAAACTACAGATTTTGTCAAAAATCTTCCGCAAAACTAACACTTTTTGCAGAATTTACCGCAAAAACTATTGCTTTTATTTAAAAAAATGGAGATAATCCGCTTTTTTAAAAAAAAGTACCGTTTTATTTCACCATAAAAACTCCAGTTGTTTCAAAATTTACTTTAAAAAAATCTCCCGTAAAAGTACCACAATTTTTGGAAATATCACGCAAATTCTTCATTTTTGGTTGGCCCTGGGTATGTAAGATGATATATAAGCAATTATTATGTTACATCACTGGTAATTTTACCCATTCAGAATTGTCCTGAAGGCAAGAAGGCTCACAGTTATTGAAGGACCCTCTAGGCCTCCAGCAGTATTTATATTATCTTCATAACCTTTATAAAATACCTTATATTTTTACTGCATGGTACAATTGGTCATTCACAACACATTTATGCTTAACCACTTGGACTGTATGTATAATGAATAGAATTAAAATTTGGCCTTGATAAATTAGTTTAGTTTAATAATAGTTTATTTCTGTGTCACAGGTTTACTAAAATATTACAAGTAAAATACATGTATTAAAAAACCCAACAGCCGACATCGGCTTACGAGACACCATATAAATATACAAAGATAGTCAATAGAAAAATATAACATCGGTATGTCGAATAATATCACAGAGGATGTAGAGTAAGTTTGCAGAGTGTGAACAATTCACAGACAAAATGACTAGAGTTAAATAACATACAATATAAACATGTGATTTCAAAATGCAATAAATGAGAATACAGTAATTATGACTGGTTGATAATATTGCACATATTTAATATCACAAACGTTCCAGGTTAAATAAACGTTTTGAGAACATTTTGTAAAGAGTAGCAGCAAGGCAGCTTTGAATGTTCTTTGCATGTAGTAATGTGATCATAATTAAGGTTGGATTGGCACTTGAAGTATTTAAATAAGGTACTTTAACTTTGGCTTCCTGATACAACATGTCTCTTAATTCTGAATAATGTGAACATTTAACAAGAAAATGTAATTCATCTTCAACTTCATTTGAGTCACACAGTTTACACTTCCTTTCCAATAAAGGTGTGTTATTATACCTTTGTGTCTCAACATTAAGTTGAAGGGACCCAGTTCTAAAGCTAGCTAGAATTTTCCTATGATGTCTTGGCATGTAAATGTTATTATAATGTTCAGTTACTACTCCGTACTTGAACTGTCTATATGTCCTCAGTTTATTACCATTGACTAGGTTATGTTGATCATTCCAAATATTTGTAAGAAACGGATCAGTTTGTTGAAAATAATCACTAATTTTTTCCATGAAGGGTTTACATGGGGTTTGTGTCCCTAAATGTTGTTCAAGGCCTGCTAGTTGTATTATGTGCTGTGTTCTGGAATCCCAGCTT